TCTTCTGTGAGCCCAACGTATAGCTGTGCCGCCGTGTGAACAATAGCATGTGCTGCTTGCTTGGGCTTACCTGTGGACGACATGCCATAATCATCAATATATATATATATGTCCAAGGAAGTGCGGAGCGGGAAAGTGATGCAGTCTAGGGGATGGCGTACGCTCTAATATACGTGGTCGCCAAAGAACAGCCTGCAATAACTCCTGAAGATGCAAAGTGAGGGCCATGCACCATGCTGGCCATCGTCAAGAAGCGTGGGCCCTTGTACGCGGCGATGCTTACACGGTACAGCTGCTTCAGTAACGCGAGCAGCTCGCATCTGTCTCCCAGCATGGACAGCACAATCGTCTCGTAGTACTTCAGGAGGTCCCAGAGAACCGTGCAGGCCACCGTCTTTTCTTCTTTCTTGGGCGTTCCCTTGAGGCCCTTGGACTGCTTTTGGGGCCCAGGACGAACAGCTTTTTCAGACCTCACCGCTTGCCTCCAGACCACGTCCGAAGCTCCCGAGAAGGGCCCCGCCGCCAAGTACGGGCGCCAATTGGATGCCTCCCAAGACGCCGCTATGGGTCTTCGAAGCTTGCCCCAAAAACGATAAAAACTGCTGAACAAACCAATCGGTCTCCAACCTCCTGCAGGTTTGGCTCGAAGCGGGACCACAATCGTGCGGACCTGATTCGGCAGGATGGAGGTCGCCTCCATGACAATATATACAGACATCAAAGCCAGCAAACCTTGATCAGCGATGCTGCTGAAGTGGCGCCTGTGGAAGCCGTCCACGGAGGTCGCGGACGTGAGCTTATACCGATGCGATACTGCCCTCATCTCTGGTGGCGGCACAAAATCGAGGGGCTGAATGTACTCAGCTTGGTCGGGCAACTCTGGCGTCTTGGAGGCCTGTCAAAGCTTGCCAACCTTCTGGGCCTCAGAGGCCAACAACGATTTGGGGTCAGCCAGCACAGCCCCTTGCGCCGAGAGGGTGGTGGTGGGTTGCCACGCTTTGGGGAGACGAGTCCACGCATGAGCTCTCCCCGCCCCTTTATCAACCCCGTCGCATAACCAGGCCTTCCAAGACTTCTGAGCCTCCGACTTAGCCTTCAAAGAGTTCGCCCCTAAGTCCTCGGAGATCTTATCTAAAATGCTGCAGCCCAGATCTAAATCCCCAAGAACCTCCGAGACCTCGAAGACCTGATCAATGTCCTGAACATGGATAAAGCCTTTGATGCTGTCATAAAGCTCAGAGAACTCTTCCAAGTGAGGAGGAGGAGGAGGAGGAGGAGGAGGAGGAGGAGGAGGACGGGGAGGGGGAGGGGGAGGCGGAGGCGGGAGGCGGAGGCGTGAGGAGAGGAGGAGGTAGGGGAGGCGGAGGCGGAGGCGGAGGAAGGAGGGGGAGGAGGAGGAGGAGGAGGAGGAGGGAGGCGGGGGAAGGGGGAGGAGGAGGAGGCGGAGGAGGATGAGGAGGAGGAGGAGGAGGAGGAGGTGGTGGATGAGGGAGGAGGAGGAGGAGGAGGAGGAGGGGGGAGGTAGGAGGGTGAGGAGGAGGAAAATGAGGCGGAGGAGGAGGAGGAGGAGGAGGAGGAGGAGGTGGGGGAGGGAGCTGGAGGAGGAGGAGGAGGAGGAGGGGGGGGGGTGAGGGAGGAGGTGGAGGCGGAGGGAGGAGGAGGAGGAGGAGGAGGAGGAGGTGGAGGAGGAAGGGAGGAGGAGGAGGGGAGGAGAGGAGGAGGAGGAGGAGGAGGAGGGAAGGCGGAGGCGGAGGTGGAGGAGGGGTAGGAGGGCGGAGGTGGAGGAGGAGGAGGAGGAGGGGAGGAGGAGGAGGTGGAGAGGAGGTGGAGGAGGAAGAGGAGGGAGGAGGAGGAGGAGGAGGAGGGGAAGGGGAGGAGGAGGCGTGTGAGAGGGTGGAGGAGGATAGGAGGAGGAGGTGGAGGAGGAGGAGGAGGAGGAGGAGGAGGAGGAGGGGAGAGGAGGAGGAGGGAGGAGGAGGAGGAGGGAGGAGGAGGGAGGGAGGAGGAGGAGGCGCCCCCCCCAATCGGGGAGGAGGAGGAGGAGGAGGAGGAGGCGGAGGCGGAGGAGGAGGAGGAGGGAGGAGGAGGAGGAGGAGGAGGAGGAGGAGGGAGGGAGGAGGAGGAGGAGGAGGAAGAAGAAGAAGAATAAGAAGAATAAGAAGAAGAAGAAGACGAATAAGAAGAAGAAGAAGAAGAAGACGAAAAAGAAAAAGAAGAAGGAGAAGAAGAAGAAGAAGAAGAAGAAGAAGACGAATAAGAAGAAGAAGAAGAAGAAGACGAAGAAGAAGAAGAAGGATAAGAAGAAAAAGAAGAAGAAGAATAAGAAGAATAATAATAATAAGAAGAAGAACAAGAAGAAGAAGAAGAAGAAGAAGAATAAGAAGAAGAAGAAGAAGAAGAATAATAATAAGAAGAAGACGAAGAAGAACAAGAAGAAGAAGAAGAAGAGGAGGAGGAGGAGGAGGAGG